GGCCGGAGCTGGTCGTAACCCGAAAAGTTCGTTAGTAGAGGCGTTCGTATCCCGAGGTACCACTGTATATATTTATTTTTATATGCCAAAAATTCTGGGCTGTTGCTGGAGAATCTAAGTGATTTGCAATGAATTTTAAATAGACTGTATCATGCAGAAAGGAATATGACACAAAAAGCAATACATGAACAGGTGTGTGGACATGGTGGAAATAAGGATAATTTGCAAAGATAGAAAGGTGTGGATACAGTGAAAGTATTGGTGAAAACTAGATTTAGTTTTATTTACTTCTCTTTTTCTTAACTAATGCCCTCAATTTAATTGGCTTACTATTCTTACTCTTTTTTTGTGCTCTGCTTCCCCAAAATATAGCCTGATATATTTATTCAACTATGCTATCATCTATTTTTATCTTCTACTAAGGAAATGTAAAAGCATTATTTGAAGCTATGATTCAGAATTTTGTGAATCATTAGTTTTCATTAGTTAGAATACGTGTCATATAATCCAAGTTAGCGTGTAGCAGTATTTATCACTGCTGTTAATACAATATAAAAGTGTTCAAAACATCTTACAAATCAGAGATGTATACTTCCAATGATTGCTAGCAGTAACCCAACATTACATATTAAAGAGGTATCTTTAATTTTAGAAATATTACTGCAAATTACATAGTCTTCAAATGTCTTACAGCTGGAGACATCTTCTAAGTCCAGTAGCAAGATCCTGGGGGGTAGGGCTACTGGCTGTACAGCTTACTAAGATTCCTTCAGCTACAAGAGCTTCAGCTGTTGTTGGACCTATAGCAGCAAACTGTAAAGAGAGCCATATTACAGAATAGATTTATTTATCATGCATGCATAACAAAACAATATTTAAACTTAAAAAATTAGAAAAGAGAGGAAAAAAACAATAAAATACAGTAGAGATACCATTCTTGCTTTGTTGGTCATCAGCCTGATTTAAAAAATGTGCTCAGTGAATAATCATCTCTATAGCTTTCAGTTCTCTTTTGGAGCAATAATACAGATATTATCTGTCAAATTTATGAAGTAAACCTTACCTTAATTTGGGAAATGAGATCACCTGACAATTTCAAAATTTGCTTCAGACAGTATTTAACACCAGAAGGACTGAAGAAAGTAACACTAGCAGGAACACCCTGATCAAATAAAAATATTGAGAGAGAGAACAGATATTTATTTACATTTTTGGTTCCAATATTCATAGATCTTATGATTCTTTAAAAAGGTAAGTTGCTTCAGAGGTTAAAAGTTATCTTCATTCTTAACCTAGGCAGATGGCTACAATGGAAGCAACTAAACTAGATCATGAGTCATCAATATTTTTGTCCAAGAATTCATTAATGTAATCCATTAATTAGATCCTGAAAAGGCTGCTGGAAGGTCAAACAATTTGTAATCAGGAACTAACATGCATATTCCTAGGAATATGTCTTGACACAGAACGTGTTATTCATAGAGAAATAAATAAAATCCTGTGTAAGGAACTGTCCACCATCCTTTCTGGGAAGACTATATATTTTTCTACAAAGTACAGCAAAGCGAGTTCAGATGGAGGCTGCAATGAAAGAAAAAACAAGAAACAAAGCCTGCAACCATTATTTTTTAAAAAAATATCCCTTTTAATGCAGTATTTCATAATATTCTTTAAAAAAAATTAAGTTGTGATTTAATCTACTTACCTTAGGCCACCAATTCAACACAAGCTCTAATGTTTTACAAATGGACATTCAAATATTAAAGCAAACAGTTGTGTGCAGAGAGCCTATTAGCACTGACAAGAGTTTGTGAATAAGGAATTAACCTCAAGAATGGCTTCTGAACAGTAACGGTACAGGTTTTTGAGCCTCTGAAAACTATACACAGGATCATCAATAAGAAGAAGCCAACAATACTTTTCACATTCTTTCTTCCCAAAGCATTTTGGGGTGATAAGACAATGAGGACAAATGGTATTCCATAAACATGTTAAACTGCTCAGATTTTAATGGAGAAGGAAGAGAGGGAATGGTCCTCTGGTCTCAGAACCCTACTCCTGTAACTTATTCCATGATTCTGATACCTATGAGGACTGAGTTCCTGAAGCATTCCAGCTGGTCCTGTTTGCACCTGAGTTATAGGCGGCAGGTAGTTTATCATACAAATTGATAAGCCCATCCATTACTGGAGTTAGAGGAATGGGGTGAATTAATTGGACAAATTAATTTCATGGACAAATGCCAAAACAGAAGAGAACAATAAAATCAACCTGAAGGAAAGGGGAGGTGGCTTTTCTAGCACTCCATCTCAGTAGCCTCTGTTTTACTTTGTTCTCATATGACAACGGGATGGGGTGAGTGGGGATATAAATTCCTTCTGTAATGGCACATGCTGCAAGTGGGCCAACCTTGTGTTTTTTAAAAGTCCCAGTGGCTCCTCATTTGACAGAGACATCAATGATGAGTCATTCCCATTCCATGGAAGTGTTTACTTGAGGGAGCAGCTGACATGGTCCCTCAAGGTAAACTGAATCAGAAATTAGTATTCTATCTATTTCAGATACAAGGGCTACTCACATAAGCAAGAACCAGGACAAGAGTAAAGATGCTAAAGCACTTATAAAGAAATGGATGTATTTATACCTTTATTTTGCTGAATGTACTCCAGAGTTAGAGGTAAAAGGGCTGCATGCTATGCTCAAAACCTTGGATGCAGCCCACCACCTCAAAAGTTGTTACTGAATTCTAATGTTTAATTGGATAGAAAAGGGAAATCCTTAACATGAGTCATGTAAATTTAGTTATATTAAATTTTAATTAAATGTCAATGCAATAGTATCAGATTTTTATTTCTGATCTAAAAATCTACTTCCTCACAAGTACTGTACTAAAAAAAACAATATGGCTCATATGTTATTAAAAAGTCGCATATCCCTGATGTTTCATGATCACTACTGGGGTATTCAGTGTAAAGAACCTTTATTCTTGTAGGAAAAAAACCACACACACACACACGAGAATACTAGCTTCAATCTGCACGGTTTCATTTTGTTTAGCAAAATCTCTCTACTTCCAGTTCAGGAGTGGGCACTCCTTTGAGGCTGGGAAGCATATCTGGCATGTTGATTGTGTGATCTGAGTGCTGTCATATAATGGCTGCCAGAAAGCTTGTCAGTTCACAAAGCCGTGGAAATTCTCCCTCAGGAGCAGGGCAAAATATCTCCAAGGGGTTTTCTTGGTCTAACCTCTGTTCAGTGATAACTCTTTACCAGATAAATAAGGAAGACAGTATCTTCTTGAATTGTAACATGACTCAGAAAACAAAATACCTCTTGCGAGAAGTAATTCTTCAAGGATTCTTGGAGGTCAGGATGTTGACTGCTTTGATAAACAGTAACAGATTCCAATGCAATATCTGCAATATGAACAGTGAAATTTATTTGTGATTAAGAGATTTTTAAAATCAATTTCAATTAAATCAAAACATGAATAGAAATACATTTAAATCAAAATTAATTCTTATCTATTACCTAAAATGCAGATAAAACATTTTCTGAAATGCTTTTTATGATTATGAAAGCAAAATTCTTATGAACATTTTAAAGGTCTATTGTCACAGAGTATACTAATTCTGAATGATTTAAAATGTGCCTTTAAAGGAAGCAGTAATGCCTGATTCAAAATTTGGATTACAATTGATCAAAAGTAACATCTTAAATGAACAAGATATCTGGTTAATGAGAGCTGTTTTTTTTAAATTAAGTGGACTTATGCATGTGGATGAAAATTTCCTTTCTTGAAATTCCAGATGATGTAGCATTTGAGCATAATAAAACATCAGATGTAGCAAGAATTGTGTCTTTAGGAAGTAAGAGAACAAAGCAAGATTTGAAAATAGTGAAAGAAGTGTTGAAACAAAGGGATAATTAGGTCATTTTCAATGGGAAAGTAAATAAGATGTACATTAAATGATAATGAAGTATAAGGCATCATATCATCTATTATACAGGAATGTTCTCTGTATCTATGCTCTGCACCTGAAACAACTGATTATGTACTATGGAAGAATCCTAACTATAGAGCAGAGGGAAATTTTCTAATATAGAATATTGTGAGGATAGTATCACAGGTTTTTCACTGACTGGACTTTTCCAAGATAGGAAGAAATGTGACACAGTTTTGATGGATCTGGAGAGGTTGTTTTTGTTTTAGAACAACTAGATTACATGGCACTGTACAGATCTTGGGGCTGTGATTAGTTTATTAGCCAGCAGATGGTAGTCATAAAGCCTATTTAGGCTTTGCTCTGCTATTTAAAAAGGATAAAACCAATTAACTGAGCATTATAAGTGAGATGACAGTCCAATACTCCTTTCCAGTGTCATACATATTGATATAAATGGCACACGATTAACTTTCTCCCATTTTTTATGTTGTCCTTAAAAAAATTAATAAGCTGCCCATTATTCAATGTTTTACTTGTCAATGTTGTGAAACCAGGCATCTGTGCAAGATTAATTATGTGTAGGGTGACAGAGAAAATACAAGTGAATGTCATCTCAAATATGACCATGAAACTCCTTTTCAAGATCACTGTCATAATTTTAAAAATAATGAACCAATCAGGACATTCTCTATGCCAAAGGTACTGGGTTAATAAACATAGAAAGTGGTCCATCTTTGACAGCTGACATCCTATAAGTGTTTGAATGACAAGTACACTGCAAAGATAATGCAAGCATGGTCACTCAGGGCTGTTACTAAGGATTGTTTGCCTGAGATGGGGATAAATCCAATAAATAAACAATCAATTAACAGACTCTAGGCACTTACAGTAAATTTTATTTATTTGATTTTATGTGTATCCCATCTTTCTTTCAGGAACTCAGGATGGCTTACATCATGCTCCCTTCTCCTTTTTTCCCCACAACCACCACCCTGTCAGGTACACAAAAGGATGACTGGCCCAAAGTTACCCAGGGAACTCCTGTGACTGAAAGGGGATTAGAACCCTGGTCTCCCTGCTCCTAGTTCAACACCCAAACCCCTACTCTCACTGGCTCTCATATAATAACACGAATACAACAATGATAACAACATAAGCTAAATTAATGACAGATTACAGTAACAAATTAAACTGAAATGGCACCAATCACTCAGTGAATCTCCAAAGGCCTTCCAGAAAAGCCCAGTCTTTATCAGCTTCCAGAAAGCTGTAAGGGGGTGGCATCCTCATCTTGGGGAGCAAGTTATTTCCAAGGGGGGAGCCCTCAGAGAGAATGCCTGCCCTCAGGCCCACTCCCACTGTACCTCCCAGCAGGTAAAGAGCCTTAGCAGGTACTGTCTCACCATGTAGGTCAGGTGGACAGAGACTATTTGGGAAAAGGGGACTAAGTTTCTTTGCATAAAAACACAGGAAAAGATCATAGTTCAATTCAACCCATTCTAGCCAAGATTTTTTGACCCTAACTGATATGGGCTCTTAAAGGTATCTGGCAGGATTTTCTTCCAACCCTATGTGGAGACGCTGGGGATTGAACATGAGACTTTCAGCATTTATTCTATTATGAGCCTGAGTTCTGAACATGTTTGTTCAATTTATATAGCTGTCCACTTGCCAGGCAACTCTTAAGCCTAGAAGACATGTTAGTCTTCGCAAGATCTTCTGAGTCAAGATCTTATTCCATGTGTTTTAAAAAACTGCGAGCTTTAAAATGGCAATTTTTTTGTTTATTTTATTTTATTTTTTTGTCTCATAGAAGTGAGGTGAAGTTGCAGTGGTTAAGTTGCATAGAAATATACAAACCTGTGATGGACTGGAATGGGGGAAGGGGGGGGAGAATGGTGCTCCCGTCTCCAGAGCAACGCTCTGGAGATAAGCGGAGAAAGCTGGCGCATCCCTAAACATTCCAGAAGATAGTAGAGACTTGTGCCTGCGAACTGCTGGTCAGTCTGAGAAGATTTCTGTAAACAGGTGCTGGCAAATAAACCTTGCTGATTGAACCTGCATGGTACTGCTGGTCAGTCTGAGAAGATTTCTGTAAACAGGTGCTGGCAAATAAACCTTGCTGATTGAACCTGCATGGTACTGCTGGTCAGTCTGAGAAGATTTCTGTAAACAGGTGCTGGCAAATAAACCTTGCTGATTGAACTTGCATGGTCTCCAGTTCTTTGGGCTAGGCCTGACAAAACCACACCTATGTCTTGCCTGCAAGCAGATATGTTTGGTCCACAGAATGAGTAATGGAAAACAACAGTTGCTCATCTGTAACCGTGGTTCTTCTAGTGGCATCTATGAATCACACATACGGCTATTCCTGTGACTGTGCTGACATTGTTAGAACATTCTAGGGCTGAACTGCATTCTGGCAGACCCAAAAGAGTCCCACCCACTGTATGTGCTTGGCTATTTAGCACAATTTCTTGAGACCCACACAGAACATTCATAGCAATTAGAATATACAGCTTTTTTTTTAATGGAGATAGTTGGGATCAAGAAGTATATGAAAGTCAAGTCTTTGGGTAATTTCCAAGCTTTAGATGTTAATGGTAGTAATGTAGAAGATCATTCTGGCATGATTAACTTAAGGCCCCACCAGGCCTCTCTCTGCCTATGGGCTCCAAGGTAGCCACTTCCCCTGCCTTCATGATATTTATACCACTGGCCTCCACATTTTTATGAAGATTCAGAAGAACTGGAATAGGTATAGAGAATGATAACCAAAGGACTATTATAAAGAAGAGACAGGGGACAATGGGTAGCTCAACCTTGAGAAAAGAAGACAGAGGAGAATATGACAGTACTTTCAAATACCTACAGGGGTATCATACGGAAATAAGTCAAGATCTGTTATCTAGCAGCCCAGAATCTAGAACACCAAGTAATGGTCTTACATTACAGAAAGGCAGACTCTGAAAAAACTTTAAGAACCCTAAAAGTAAGAAGTGAGACAGCAGAATCAATCACCAAGGAAGATGGTGAGTTCCCTTAACTAGATCTCTGCAAGCGAAAGCTGGACAGCCATCTGTTGGGCATGTTTCAATTTTAATTCCTGCACCATGGAGGATTGCATATAGTGGCCCAAGTGACCCTTTCCAACTCTTCAGAGTCTGTAATTCCATAATAGTCATTGTCTTATTTCCTCTGAGCTTCTTGGAGTGGAAAACTGCTGCTTAAAAATATGTTTTATATCAAACCTTTGTCCTTGAGCATTGTTGGAAGTGTTTCCCTTTTTAGAGCACCACATGGAAAAAGTAGAGGCAATGAATTGGATGACTCTCCTGTTTAAGAAGTAAAAATGGATTTAATTCATCATGGCGTTTTAAGCACAAACAACACAAAATAATGCTTTAAAATGGCCACACTCTAAGACACTGTAAGAAGTGCAATGTATTTGACTTGTATGCTTACAATTGCTGAAAACATTTAATGCTTAAAACTACACAAGCATCACATATAGTAGAAGCTCTTTAGCATGTAAATTAAAAAAGAATCCATTGCCAAGTTATAGATATTTGCCTAAAAAGATCTGGCAAAAAGATAAATTACCTTGCTATTCTTGAGCTATTCAACAGAGAGCTAGGAGCACAATGCTTCCAATCATCTTAATACATTCTCCTCCCATTCTGACATTTGGCATTCTTCAGACTTCACATATATGCACACATCTAGCAAGTTAAAGACTCAATTCAGCAGAATAAATTTATCTGACCTTCTACACAAAAGGAAAGGTCAAGACAGTCACAAGAAGGGACAGTATGCTTTGAAAAAGAGCTCCCAATTCTACTTGGTGCTTTTGTTGTTGCTAAACTACAGCAGCCATCCTAGGAGAAACTGTTAATTGGAATTAAATCTTTCATTTTTCCATCTTTCAAGATGATGCTCCCATAACTAGTCCTGCTCAAACAAATACTGTTTGGAGGTTAGGGAAGAGGGCTTCTTTAAGGAAAACAATTCTGTTTATGCATTTCCATGACAGTTTTCTTCTAACATTTTCTCATTAATTTTTAGTATTCACTACCACAAACCAAGATTATACCTACAAGCTTAGGAGCATTAAAATGGCTAAATTGCACTTCTATAATCAGAGCAGGTATCATCATTCTAACTTGTGTTTTGGATGTTCAAGTATACATACCAACACTTTTTGCAGTCAGAATGGCACCACTCATGTAGAGAAGGCAGATAGCAGCCTTTTTTTGCTCGAGTACAAACTTTGTTAGAGTACAGATAAATATTTAGGAGGAAAAATGAAAGGTAAAGATAAAATTAGGCCCATGCTACCTATTTTACAGTAGTAGTGGAAACAGAAAATTGGGAAGGAAGAATGATATGTAGAGTTAGGGGTACTGAGGATGGCATGAAAAGCAGACAGAGTGGGCAAAAGCCTGGCAACCTTTTGTTGCAGGTTCTCTGCTATATACAAACAGGAATTTCAATTCTACAGTTACTGGTCCTCATATAGCCAAAATGGCATCAGCTACACAAAAAGGGGAGATACCAGCACACATCTTTAGGGGAGAATACTTTGGGAGTCAGCCCAAAGGAAGCCTATGCATCCACATGAACATTGTAAGGAGAGCAAATGGACGTACATTCTTTTTATTAGATTCTAATTATACCTGAATTCCAGGATTTCTATCTTTCTTCCGTGCTTAGGAACTTCCCAGAGGAATATGGCCATATCTGCATATTAACTATACAACCCCACAGACTGATCCAAACAAGGTTTTGACGTTAACATCAACTATTAATTTCCAGTATTGTCCTGCCCCATCACAATGGTCTTCTGAATCTCTAGCAAGAGAGTTAAGTTATCATACCTGCTCTGCTTATAGCACTTATAGCATGTTTCTTTATAAGGGATTTAAAGACAAGTGAAGATATTTTGGTTTTGTTAAAACCTGATTTTCTATTAGCATCCCAAAGGCACCTCTTGCTTCCCAACAGCAAACAGTGTCTCCTATCTAGGGTGTAGATGTTTCTACTGGATTTGTATCCTTTTGCTTACAGTGATTTATGTGTGGGAGAAAATGGGAAGGAGAACAGACCTGCTGTTTTAAATGTTATAAAATATTCTTGCCCTTTAACTTTAAGATCCTTAGCTGAAGAAAATACAATAAAATTAAATGGAAGGACCTTATTAAAAGTCTACTCAGATTTATCAGAATAACCTTACGTTTTATTAGGTATGTCAGGTATGTCAGTAACATGAAGCAACAAAGATCTCAGACAAAATGCAGAGATAAAAGGAAAATACATTAATATAACTGCTACCTAAGGCTTAAGCCAATGTGATGTCTGAGAAGGAAAGCCAATCTTTTTAAACATGTTTAGAACGAAAGAATCACATCTTGATAGCAGTAGACAATATAATGAGGACTGGTCCTACAGCATTTTCCTTCTGTATAACCACCTATATATGGTAATTAAATTGTAAAAAATCTGTAAGATTTGTCTTGGGAAGAAGACAAATATTGATGCTACCTATTTAATTAAGGGATCAACTAATGTTTTCAACACAGTAGATCAGCCAAACCCAGTACCAAAGACAAAGCTACTTGAACAACAGCAACTGCCCTGGATCCAGATCAATATAGTTTTACTTTGGTCCCACACAAATCAGTGGAATAATTTAGGTGTATTGATTTTAGTATGACTAAACTGCTGTAGATGTAAAATGCTGTATGAATGATGCATTTTAAAGGTTCTAGTATCAATTATCTTTGTTTTAATTCACATGTAGGTCTCTTGTCCTCATGTTTTCATAAGAATTTCAGGAGAAATTGAAATAAAAATTAAATGGGGAACTGGAATTTTGTAAAATGAGGCGCCAGCGTTTAGCATTAACGTATACATCATCTCCATATGCCATGTAGACCTGCAGATCCAATAGATGTTCTTTAAAAATCAAAATAATTGATGGTTATAGCTCATGCATTGTGTGAAAGTATATTTCTGAGAAAAAGCTCAAGAAAAAGGGAATCTTAGAGTGGTAGAAAGTATTATGGGAAATTAAAAGGGGTAGCAGGGAACAAGACAAGTTTACTTCTGGTAAATGTATGCTTTGGCACTGGCCATATCCACTATGTTGGGTATTACATAAATAATATCCAACCCCCACCCCCCTACCCCATAATAGCCATTTTGGGGAGTGACCCACTGACATGCTCTCAAAATGCTAAATGTGACATCTACATATACAGAAAGTAATCAATCCCTCTCTTGCAAAATAGAAAATCTTGCTGCAACATCCAATAGCAAATCTGCAGTATTGGCCTATGTGACTTCTCTTTCTTGCAAATGTTTTGTCAAGAGAGGATTAGAGATTTTAATTCTGTGAAGAAGAGGGTTTCTCCCTCCAAACAAACACTATATTTTAGCATTTATCCTTCTGTTGCAAAATCCCAACACAATGCTATTTTTGTTACTGCTGTTGATATGTATTTCAAAGCCAATCACAGTTGCACAGTATAATGAGAAGTTTGTGAAGCTGTTTTCATTGTTACCCAGGGGAGAAAACGTTCTGTATTTTATGTAGACCATAAAATTGAGTTCATAATAACATATACATATTGCAGACGATAGTCATATACCAGTCATCGAAAAATAGGTTTCCACTTACGGGAGCAAATTAATCCTGCTAGTTTCTCGGCATTTCCACAGTCTTCTCCTTGTGGTTTGAGACCTATTTCAGTTACTGGAGGAGGAGGAGGAGAGATGAAAGTTCTACTGAGTTAATAGAAAATGAAGGTTCATCTTCTGGACATCTGAAATTATTGTGCCATTTTTTAAAAATAGAAATATGTTTTAAAATTAGAATATACAATCCAAAGACTTGATCAACTGTGCAGGCACAATGAAATTGTGTAGCAGCATGGCCAAATTATGTTAATTGTTCATCCTCTGATTCTGGTAGCCAGATCACTGCAATTAGGAGGTAAATTACTTTTTTGACATGCCCTATGAATAAAAGTATATTAATATTATACTTTTGGCAAAAAACAATGGTTGCTGTCTCATCTGTTTGGATACTAACCATAGTAATGGACAAACTGTATCAATTAATACACATAACTTATTTTATACAGCCCTTATGTAGAGTACAATCATCACCAAAAACAAGCCACCGGTTTACAATCTAAGGCAGACAACGAAAAATATGAGATTATACTGCTAGAAAAGAGAAACCTTTTCAGATGTTGCTTAAAGTAAGTCTGAGCCAAATATTTCATGCACACCCACAGCTGTAGCACCATTTATTTCCAGTGGAATTGAAGGGGGAATATTTGATGGTTTCAAGAAGTGGATATACTCAATGTACTTTTAAAGCTGAAATTGTAGATAGCCAATAATTCTTATTTGCCTTGCCTTTAAAAACAGAAGTAAGCTGCTTCAAAACAGCTTTGTCTTTTAGGACAGAATGCCTGCATTGAAGCTCAAAAGTGGCAATCAGATTAAACTGCCTAGAGTGAATTTTATTAAGAATGTTTATCATGGACCAACAAACAAAAACACCAATCAAACAATTCTCCCATAAAAAATATAAAAGCAAATGTTCTAAACCAAATCAGTCAGAAAATCACAATTAACTACCCAACTGGAAATGATCTAATCAAGAATTATTACTGTACATAGTATAGTGAAATATACACATTTGGCATAATAATTTAACTAGGAAATACTTAACTTTGCTGTCAAATTATCCCTACTTTATTTATTTATTATGTCAATCGTTATGGCCACCCAACCTGTGACTCTGGGCAGCTAATACTAAAAATCACAATAAATAGCAAATGAATTGCAAAAAATAGTATAAATTTAAATTGCGCTCGAGGCCCATAATCCAGCTTCCACAACAGGAAAATCACATAAAACTGGCGCACCTGACATCCTGGCCCCATTTCCAGAATCTTTAACAAAAACAAGCAGGGTCAATCTCGGAGGTGGTATGCTATTCTAGAGGGCAGGCACTGCAACCAAGAAAGCTTGGTTCCTGGGTTTCACCTGTTGGCAGTGTTTAATTGATGAGACCTGGAGCATGCCCAGTCTGTCAGATCTGATGGGGCAGGCAGAAATAACTGGAGACGGGTGGCACCCCAAATAACCCAGCCCAATGTAAAAAAAGGCTTTGTAGGTGAAAGCCAGCACCCTGACTTACAACCAGAAGTGTACTGGAAGCCAGGGCAGCTCATGGAGCACTGGGTTTACATGGGTGTACCAAGGCAAAAAGATGAAACTTGACAAGATGAAAGTTGTACCGAGTCAGTGAAGAAAATGAAGGTTCATCTTCTTGACATAAATGACTGTTTTATTGTTTTTTTAAAAATAGATATATGTTTTAGAATTAGAATGTGCAATCCAAAGACTTGATCAGCTGGTGGACCCATAATTACCTATGGCATTGCATTCTGGACCAGATGCAGCTTCTGAGTGGTCTTCAAGGGCAGCCCCATTTATTTATCACATGTATTAAACCAATTTATATAGCCACCCATCTGTGATGGAAGGCATGAGCGGGGAGGATTCTGGAAGGGAGCTTCAAGGTTACAGGGAGCGGGGAGAGACATTCCAAGGAGAGCATCTCCTCAGCCCCCAGCTGGACCGTGTGAAAGTCAAGAGAAAGAGACCGGCCCCTCCCTAAGGGCATGATGGTTTTAGTTGCTGTCGTTGGGGGATTAGTCTGGCGAGATTCTGTCTATTAGGTGCAAGCTAATAAGGAAGCTGAGCTGATTTCTGGATTGTCTCCTTGTGATTCTTGGGCTGAACCTGACACCATCTCACCACAGGCGACTCTGGGAGGTGTACAACAAAGCTAAAAACAGTGAATAAATATACTAAAACTATAAATGGATTGTTATTTTTAGGTTTGTTTTTATGTTGTATTTTAATGAACTTTTATCTTGTTGTAAACCACCCAGAGTCGCAGTGGGCAGTGACAAATTTGATAAATAAATAAATAAATAAATAAATAAATAAATAAAT